TGGTGGTGGTGGTGGCAGACGACTTTATTTGGAAAGCTCCTGTACTTTATTTTGGAGGATGGAATTGCAGTTGGCGTTTTATGAATTTGTGGCTACCATGATGACTCATCTCGAATCGTTTAAGCCAACAACATGAGGCCGACCAAAACAGCATGCCGCTTGAAATTCTTGCTCAATTAAAGGCATTTTACGCTTTGAAAATGGGGAGCCGATCAAGCTCTTTGAAACGTCAGCATCTAAATAAACCTGTCCCGGTGAGCCTTTCTTCTTCCTCATCTTCTTCTTCTTCTTCAAATCATAACCCAGATCTCTCACCTTTGCCACTTATCAAATTTGACAGCAAGGCGTACGACGAGAAAGGAAGTATGCCCTGTTACTGCTGCTGGCTGCACCTTAATACCCTTATATCTGTTCTTGTCTTGACAAGTTCCTTTTAAGTAACCTCAGGCAGCTCGTGACCTCATTTTTGCTGTTCCTTTTCAGAAGAGATGTCTACATGACCCAAACATGGAAATTTTATTGGCACTACTTCATTTCGCTAGTTTCATCTGACCTGGCTTCGGCCTTGCCCACCTCTCGGAGCTCTAACTTTCAGATCTAGCTCAGAATTGAAGCTGTCACAATGCAGCATAACGAGCAGATAGACAGATAATTTTCACATGTCCACCAGCTATCCCACCTTACAGAATTCTGGTGCTGCGGTGTAGACTTCAGCTGCTACACAAGCTGACATGCTTCTAATCACACAGGATAGTTGCCTTTGAGGAAGTGGGGCGTATCAACACTCTCTGGGCAGTTTTTCACGCCCAACGTTGGCAAAGCACGTGTGCGTTGCTGAGGCTGTCACGTGTACATCGATCACCAGAGGGGTCTCGGGTCGATAGTTCGGATCCAAACCCCACGGATCGATAGCTGTTTGCTTTGAAGGTGGGCAGAGCCTCAGTATTCTCGAGGATGTTGGTGACTTCGGATATGCTTCTGCAGGTGCTGCAATCCTGGCTAGAACATGTACAATCTCCCCTTGTTAGGGTGTATGGAGCAAAGTTTAGGGAGGAAGAAGATCGAGCTGTACGTACACCCGGTAAGTCTGCAACTGTTCTGCCAATTCCATGCTTATAATGCGCTCCTGAGGGTCTTTAGGGTTGATGAGTAGATTAATGCATAGCTCCACTATGCAATTATAGGATATATAGATAGACAGATAGATAGATAGATAGATAGCGTGAGAGAGGGAGAGAGAATGACGTATACGCTTTACTTTAAATGTATTAGTTCAAAATTTTCAGTAAGAAAGGGCTATTCCGTTCACTGTGGACAACAGATTAAGCAAGAGTCAATAAGGTTAACACAAAAGGGATAAATATTATAGGTACGGTTCAAGTCTCAGTTTCTGCATTTCTGACTCTTCACACGTAAGATAGCGTGACAGAAATGACAATATAGAATGCTGATATGTCAGGGTACGGCACGAGATTGACTAAACATTCCAGGCCCTAATTTCTCCGATCCCTTCGTTGGGGTTTGTTATAATGTCACATTTAAATACCTCACAGGAGAGGCCCATGGAAATAATTCCATAAACCCGCGTTGAACCACACCGACATTTGCCAGCCCTGTACTAGAACGTGCATATATACAAACAGGCTGTGTGCTAATAGAATATGGTCTGTAAGCAATTATCTCAACTACCTTTGGTTACACCTACCCACCCACTTAGAGACAGTCTCCGACGTAGTTAGCTAAGTAGTAATATCATTGAACACCTGACTGACAGTTTCTAGGCTCCATAACTTATGCTTCAAAGCGCTAGACGTACAGCTGCTGGACATTATCTTAATCGGTCGAGATGCCGATTGGAAGTCGGATATATGTCTAATCTGTCCCGCTGGATGCTCTGGATGCGGCCGTGGATGAACGGTAGTTTGATGTTCTAATCCGACGACACAGTGACCCATTTGATAGATGATCAAAATGGCGTAATGATTTCCGGTTTCATCTTCGAATCTATCACAATAATAAACCAGATAGAGAGAACGAATTTGCACAGAGAATAATCGAAGCGACCGTGTTGTCACCCTTCAGGCACCCAAGTGATGAGGTGACTCATAAGTATACTCTACCACACCTCAGTGATTTTAATTTTGTTTTGTGCGTGTGTGCGTCTCTGATGTCCTTCAGGTAGTGCTTCTGCGGTAGCTGCGCAAGGAGACGCAGGTAGCAACGGATCACCCCAGTGCCTCCCCTATAACCCCTTCCCCGACGTCGCCTTTCCGTCGGAGCCGCCACCTCCGATCGCCTCCACCTCAAACTACCTCGGCTTCCCCTCCACTGCCGACTTCATCCGCGCCAAGCAAGTGATATGTTCGCAAGAGGCCCCCTCGAGACCATTATCCGACGAGGACTCATTTGAACACTCACTGCCCGTCCCCACACCGCGACATACGGTCTCCCTTCTTCGGATGGCCGTTGGTCCGACCTTTGACATCCAAGTACCGAGACAGCGCGCCGCTGCTCTGGTTCCAAACCACGATGGAAAGACATTCACCATCGGGTCATACACGGAAAAGGCTTCAACAATTGAAGATATTGCGAGGCTGCCTAGCCTCGAGAGCGAGGACCTCCTGCCTTCTGAGTCTACGGAAATAGATATGAGTCTCTCCTCCTCTTCCTCCTCCAGGTCTTCCGGGAAGGCAGAATTGTCTCCGTTGGAGGAGCTAAGTGAATGTGGAGCTGAATCACTGAGGTAATTATAATTTTTTTTATTCACGTTTATTAAACAGCTTAAAATTCCTGCGGCAACACAGGGGGCGTAGTTTCAACCCGGCCATTGCGACCTTCAAGAGGAGTGACTGTATACGATCGTGATAGGTGCCTGCGAGATCAACTGCAGTTGAGTTTTAAGCTCCCATGCGCCAACAGTTGCAGCCTACGTGGTTAGAGCAGGTCAGGAGGGATAACAGCCTCAGAATGCTGACAGATTGCTATTCTTGCTGAACTGGCGTCCATCTATGCCTGCTTTTCTACCCTTAGCGTCGATATCTGCTAGACTAGACCTAGATTATCATTGCGAAGAGCAGTAGTTTAGGGAGCACTGGCTACCTGCACATTACTTCTTCGTACCCCAGTCATTGACCGATAACCACTTCATGGAATGTTGAACCACCACTGTCTATGCTTTTGGTTTTAGTGAGGTGATCCTGACTCCTGGTGTCCGCAAAATGAACGCCAAACTGCGAACACATGCAGCAAATGAGTGGTGTGAAATTGGCGGGAGGGAAGTCTGTCTGAACTATGCCGAATGTCAAGGTTGTCCACGAATTCAGAGACGAGGGAATCGAGGTAAGCAGGCTCTTTTAATGCGCCGCCAATTCTGCCCTACTAACCAGTCAATTTGTCTACACAGTCCTTTTGACCGCGCACTGTTATATCTGTCATTCGCGTTGTCTAATTCTGAGAGCTGTGGCATGTTGGATTATCTGCGCAGTATGAGAATAGAAAAAAACTTGTGGTCATGAGCATACCATCTATATCTTCCTCTCAGATGGTTCAAAAATTTTATTTTACAGCTGTGTTTAAGCCAGTCGTCTCGGTCACAAAGGCGAAGGCAACATGCTCTGTTCCCATGCGTGAGAACTATAATCGGGATGCGCCGCTGATAACTCCTCGGCGGGTAAGTCATTTATACCAGGTTAGTTCTGAGAAATGGAGTACTTGTGCCTGTGCAGTCATTGCTGTCCCCCTCATTAACTCGAAATCTGTTGTTTTAGCGGCGGTCAAGAGTGCCCCAGCTTTTGCGGCGAGTTTTGCACCGATTGTGCAGTTGCATTCGGCCGGAATTTGAATGAGAAGCGATTCGTCGAGACCGTCGGCTCTGCCGATCCGAGAAACCGAATGAATTTGAGGGTGCAGAGCCGAGGTCAGCGAATGGGAGGAGATATGGAAAATGTTGTGGTGATCCGTTGCTGGGCGTACCTCCTTGCGCAGTTACCGCAGAAGGACTACCGGAAGGACAATAGGTCCCTGTTTCCACCCCCTTCCCCAGAGTCATCTCCCTTTACTGTATGTATGTATTTTATATGAGTAAAGTCATCTTAATTACACTGAGTGCTTTTCCAGTGTGCTCTGTAACTTGGGTGGGGCTATTTGTGGGGCGGTGTGATGCACTGTGGGTGATTCGCTGAAAAAATCCTGGTTTAATCCTGTGGTCTATTGGGGTCTAGTAGTTAGACGGTATATGAGAATGTTGTGGAAGAGGACAAAGGATACTTTATGCATGACTGTGTGCGAGGGAGGACTCAATAGCCCGATCACCATCAGATCTTGGCATGTTCGGTTCGCGTCGGTGTCGCCACTGTCGGGAACATAATAATCAGTAGTAACGACCAATTCATTGCGGATGTCCACTGTAAATTATATTCGCCAGCCCAATTACGAATAACAGCAAATGACTAGTAAGCATGTTGCAGCCTTGTCAGCCCTCGTGCCCAATCGAGTATAACTCGATTTTTTCCGATGAACCTTTTCTTTTTCCATAATTAATGGTTGATATTTGACTGCCTGTGAGTGATCTAGATTAAGGGAACTGTGCCACACAAATCAACGCTCCTTTTTCTCACAGAGGGTCATTCGCCAATGGAACTCTTTGCCGGAGTTTGTTGTTAATTCCCCTACCGTGTGCCAGGCAGGTTAGGTGTGTGGAGACTGCGATGAATTCCGTCGTCGCGAATACCCATGTGACCGAATAGGCCCATACGGTGAGTGAATGTGTGGGGGTAGTGAAAGCAATGGAGGCGGGTTCGGCAAGTTTATTTGGGTGCTCCAGGCACTGGTTCGTCCGACTCCGTGCGATGAATTTTCAAGTGGCCGATCAGGCTGATGTGTGATGTGAATCTGCGAACGCGATTTGCACAAGTTTGCTCCGAGTGCACATCACCAGTGTTGGTGGTGGTGAGACTGATGCTTGACGGTGCGTCAGGATTGTGTACAGGGATGTCGGGGGCAGGAGCCTCCGCAGCAGATGTCGGGACTGTGGAGGCTGGCAGTGGGGGATCAGGAGTGCGGTTAGTGTTGATTGCCGATATTGGGGGACGAGGCAGAGGCTGGCGGGGTGACATCGGATGGTGTCGTCCGGGTGCTGCGAGGTGGGGGCAGTTGAGATTTGCGAGCTTCCCTTTTGACCTTGACAGCGGTTATGCGGTTGGCTTCGTAGCTCGCTGAGTCAGTCTTCACTGTCCTCCTCCAGGCCGGTTGGTCCCGGTGAGGTCTTTCCAGTTGGCCAAGTTGGTCTTCAGGCGCTTCAGGGAAGTCCTCAGAGGTGTTGCTTTTTAGTTTCCTCATAAACCAACTACGAACTTAGAGTAGGTCAGTATACACTAAGATCCATTGACGCAGACCGAAATTTGATGTATGGATGTTTGGGCCGAAGTCCATCAGCTACAGCGGGATAACCGCGTTATATTCGCTAACTGCCGACAGACAGCTAGTAGCATAGCTTTGGATTACAAAATTCCATACTAGCAACACATGTACTAGCTAAAAGCCCAGACACGCGTGTTCTGCCGATATTCTGCCGCTGCGTGGCACAGCTGTGAGGGGTTCGGCCCATCAGTGGGTTCCCCCGCATCGACTTTATTATATGCTGACCTCTAAGTTCGCAGTTAATTGCTGAGGAAATTAAAAGGCAGAGAATGCTGGTGGACCCATTGATGAGCCGGCCACCACGCAGCCGTGCCATGCAGCGACAGAATGTCGGCGAAACACGCTTGGCTGGGCTTTTAGCGAGTACTCGTACTGCTTATATGACGTCTTGTAACCCTAAAAAGTCCTCGCAGTCTCCTTGTAGCGTCAGACTTGACCTTTGTCAACGAGAACCCGTGGTGACATCTCCATAGAAGAGTCGTTTGATTAGCAGATCTTCGTCAATCGGCACAAGATGACCGTTCCAGCGTAGTTTCAATAGTCTCAGCATGGCGTGGATTCTGAGGATTCCTGTTCATTCCAGTACATACGTGTCCGGGATACGGTCCTACCACCTTAGCTTTAGTATCCGCTGAAGAAAACTGAGGGCGCGATCGGTGAGCGCCCCCTTACCATTGTATATACCCGATCGCAACGTACAGGACGACGAGCCCATGACTCAGTGGTTAGGGGCGTTGTACTTATAGCCAACAGATCGTGGGATCTAGCAGCAGGTTTTCCAAATTTCGGGGTTGGGTATTACTGTCTAACGACAGCTAATAAGCCAGAAGTGGCCATTCCAGTCTGCCTTGTCTTTGTCGGTAATGCGTTTCTGTCCATCTCACGCGCCGCTATGTGGCTGCTGGCGGGGCTCGAGAGAGAGCCCCAAGGCGCAACGGGCGATCGGTGAGCACCCTCCTACCACGGTGTTTGGTAGTTTTTGAAGTCATCAATATTTCGCCTTTCGTGGAACTTTGAGAACTTTGACTTCGGCTTGAGAATGAATCGACCACAATTTTCTCAGTGTTCGGAGAAGCGGATGTCGCTGAGACCAGCGATGTGCACCTTGTAGCGCGCCAGTCCTCGAGTGACTGAGCCGTCCTCCGTTTTGATCGATTGCTCCTCAGATTATCTAAAAGGGAACAAACATTCCAGGCTTCCAGAGTAAGCGGACTCATCCTTGCAGAAGGGGGGAGCGGGGTGGATTGAAGGGGAACAAGGGTTGTTGTTTTTCGACCGTGATTTTTGAATCCACATTCCGCGGTCTGCGTGCAGATGACATGATTTCCCAACCCTTGATTGGAGTGCATTTTCCGGCCCCAATCCCCTCGAAGAGGCAAGAAGTGCTATCGGAAATAGGGCTGTTTGGACATCCCAGACAGTTTCCGAAATCCATTGTGAGTCAGGGTCTTGTTTAGTGGAGAAGGCCCCGAGTTAGCCTAGGCTATTTGGGGGATTTTAGGCCAACCTCTCCTTAGGGCAGGCTGTGTCAACGGGAGCCAGTTCAGCAGCGGTATCGGCGGCGGCGGCGGCAGACTTGGTGGCGTTGGCAGCAAGAAGCGCATTTGTGAGCTGGTGAGTGCCGCTATGTAGGATTGGCGAGGGCAAAAGATTGAGGAACCTGATGTAGGCGCACAGAGCGTCTGCGAGTTCTGAACTTGAGAAACTGGCCAGAAGGAGGTCGCCACGAATGCGCAGAGTACCCAGGGCTGTGGTGACGCCCGGAAATCCGTCGATGCGGGCAGCCTGAGCGGCAAATAAGGCGTACTTGACCGATAACACGGAGGCGGTAAATGAAGGAGGTCCGTACTACTTTACGAAGTCAACTTTAGACAGTGCGCTAGCACCCTTTCATTACTTAGTCAGACGGTCACACTGCTTTTCAGACATGACACTTCGACCGTCGATTTCGACTATGTCCACCGTGAGGATGAGAGCAGGGACGGTGACTTATGCGTGAATTAATTTATAGTGATAGAAGACTTGCGCAACAGCTACCGCAATCTCTCCTCTCCGTACGGCATTTTAAACTGAAATAGGGGGGTGGAATGAGAAGAAAGGGGAAGGGAGGAATGGATGAAAGGGGGGGAAAGGGGTAGGAGGGTGGGGAAGGGAGGGAGGAAAGGGGAAGGATCTACCGGGCGTGGGGAACACGCAGCACCGGCCACCCTCACCTAGTTTAGCACACCGGTCTAGGCAATTACTGGGGTCTGTCCGCTAGGCGGAGTCTAGCGTTGGGGAGCCACATATGAGAGTTAAGTGCCAGTCAAGGACCTGAGGAGCAGTCATCACTTACACGGTGCGACCTATCACTCATGCAGGGGTGCCCCTAACTGGATAATCTTACTGCCTGATAAGTGATTCAAATATACAGTGACAGTACGCACAGTGGATGAATGCAACTCCTGAGCTAGTGGTTTTGGCGACAGGGTTGATGATATTGAGGCTGGTGGCTGAGCTATCCTTGGGTGTGAGAGGTGAGCTTGTCGCTTATGCATTGCGGTGAATTCCCTTGCTGTGGATACGTATGCGGCCGAAGCGGCCTCGTTTTCGCAAACTGTTCAGGCCCCGGCCTCATGCAGGAGTGTCTTCGTTTGCGTGCTGAGGTGGAGGCCACAGCAACTTCAAGCTATCCTTGGGTGTGAGAGACGAGTTTGTTGCTTATGCATTGCGGTGAATTCCCTTGCTGTGGATACGTATGCGGCCGAAGCAACCCCCACAGTGTCAGAATGTCCTGATGCATTTTGGTTTGGTGAGGTATGTATGTGCTTGCTCTGTCGGGGCAATGGACGCTGGTTCGCCGATCGCGGTACGGTAAATTCGCATGTGACCGGTCAAGCCGAAGCGCGATACGATTATGGGATAGCATATGGAACAGCCTGGGATGGAGCCCACATTGCATACAGAGGAGGGTCGATGATGGTTAGTAGGATGTCAGGAAGATCCTCACTATTTGTAATGGAAGTGATGGTAGTCGTCGTCGTGGACGTTTTGCTTTTGATGGCGGTGACGGCGGTGGTGATGGTCGTGGTGGTCGCAATGCTAGCTTTGTCTGAGAGGGAAGGAGCATTGGAAGTGTTGATATTGCATTGGGTTTTGAGATGTCCGGCAAAGTCCAGCCTTGCGCAGAACGCCCGTGGACAGGTTGGGGACGATGGAAACAGCTGGATGCCTTAATTGCTCTCTTATGACGGTTCACACTTTCGAGTTCCTCTTTTTATCTTGGTAGCGGCTATCCGGTTGGCCTCGAAGATGGCTACTCCAGTCTTCGCTACTGTTTCCTAGACCTGCCCACCCTGAACGAGGTCCTCCCAGACCTCCACGCTTTCCTGTAGGTTCTTAGGAGATATTTCTGGGGTGTGCTTGCACTGCCAATTCCGTTTTTTTACCTGCGAACACTCGTAGAGGTCTCCGTGTAGAAAAGCCGCTTGTTTAAGCGTTCGTCATCAATTATCAATAAGTGACCACTCTACCGCAGTTATCCTCGCCACGGTATAGCGTGGATGCTGAGGACTCCGATCCATTCCGGGTCCTCCGTGTCGGGGATCCTGTCCTGCCATCTCAGCTGTAGTATCCCTCGGAAGTGGCTGATATGAAAGTGGTTGAACTTCTTCGCCTCGTTTACGCAAACTGTTCAGATCCCGGCCACATACATGAGTGTTTTCGTTAGCGTGCTGAGGTGGAGGCCACAGCAACTTCAAGCCTTACAACTATGCGAAGACGTGACTGGTATTGAAGATCCGACGTGCGACTTCGAAATCTACCTGGATGTTTTCTGGAATTGTGCTGCTTCATTAGGCTAGCCTTTCCACAGAGTTCCATTCACGTCAATCCTGAACTTGGTACATTAATCTGCTGATGCTGGCTGATGCATGACCACCGTCTTCCCCATGTTGTTCTTCCCCATGGGGTGCTAGTTTTGCGTTTAATATTATTACTTGTTGATATTATTGCTTTGTGGTCACTTTTAAAGGTTGCCCATTCGTAGTGCATATAGAGGGGCCAGATATCGTTGGTGAAAATAACGTCTAGTATATTGTTTCCTCGGGTGGGTTTGTCAACTATTTGTGTCCAGTTATTAAAGATAATTGAAGACAAGAATTCTTCGTGCCTGGTAGGTGCTGATAATTCGACCCAGTTTATTTCTGGGCGGTTTAGGTCGCCTCCAATTATCTTATATTCAGTTGTTATGTTAGCTATATTGCTTATTAAGAGGTTGAGGCTTGTGTCATCACTACTACGTTCTGGAGGGGAGTAGAGGCATCCGACTAGTATGTTTTCCTTTGTATGAGATTTTATTGTGGAAAAACACGCTTCTCCAGCAAAGGTTTCGGTTGGGACATCAATACCACTTTGCTCCGTGCTAGTTTTGATGTAGATAAGACAGCCTCCGCCTCGTTTATTAACACGGTTCTGTCGATAGAAATTATAATCTGGGACATATAGCGAAGCATTCGATATAAG